GGACAAATCGCACTCTCGCTTGCATTTCGCGCGCTCGACACGCACGATCTCCGCGGAGGGTTGCCCGCGTGCAGGACAAATCGCGCTCTCGCCTGCTTTTCGCGCACTCGACACGCACGATCTCCGCAGAGGGTTGCGCGCGCCACGGACAAATCGCACTCTCGCCTACATTTCGCGCACGCGACACGCACGATCTCCGCAAAGGGTTGCCCGCGCGCAGGACAAATCGCGCTCTCGCCTGCATTTCGCGCGCTCGACACGCGCGATCTCCGCAGAGGGTTCTTGGATGGGCTGGGTCCTTACTAGTGGTTTAACATGTTTAACATAGTTTAGCTAACTTTTACTAAGTGTAGGCTACTCGCTTAGAGTGTATCTAACATAAGTACAAAAAATCACTATTTCCAAGACAATAAAACCAATTTTGCCCGACATCAAAACTAATTTGGCAAGAATTTTCAAACTCACAAAGAAATTCTGTGAAAGATTTTCTGGCAAATTTTGAAGAAGTTTGCTCTGGCAAGTTTTTTGTTTTCAGCCTTTAAAAAACTTCTAGCAGGGTTTGCAAAAAAAACTGTAGCCATGGGAGGCTTGCAATGCTCAGTCTAGGCATTGAAGGCTTGCAGCAGGTGAGAATCAGCAACGCTGCAGCTGAAGTGTTTTTCACCTCAGGTGCAAAGGAGCCAAGGTCAACACTCCACTTTTGTAGGGGGTGTGGGTGACAGTTGTCAAGATTTCAGAAGCTGGCACAGGCACCCAATTGCTGGTCTCATTCCACAGAGCTGCTCTATCTTTGGGAAAATATTCCACTAGCTCCAAAGTTCTCAATAAAGACCAAGCTTCATTACCAATACCAAAATGCAGAAGCACTTTGCCTGCATCCCATCTGCCAGCGGTACTGGTAAGCAGCACAACATCATTGGTGGCTGCTGAGCCACCCCCTTTCAGCAACATATTGTGGCAAGAGTATATTTCATTGCTGAAAAGCCCCAGATGGGTCTGCAACCAGGAGATCAGTTTCTTGCTGGCCATTGATTTGGTTTCCAATGCAGCCCCTGCTTTGCTGCTGTGTCTTGTTGTGCACTTGCTG